TTCCCTAGAATGATGAGCACATTGTCATCGGCCTCACAGTCTGGTATAAGAAAATCAATAATAAATACAAAATTTTACACTTTCACTTTAACATATTCAATTCTTCCCTCGGGACGAACATGAGATTGGTCAGCTAGTTATAGGATCACGATAGTCGGTTGAGCACTACCAATTCTAAGCTTCAAGAACACTGACTTGGGCATCAAATTTACATTTAACCCAAGATCACATAGTGCTCTCCACATATATGTATCACAAATAGAACAAGGAATAAATGAGGAAGTTTTCTCAGTGTTGAACAATATTCTTTCGATGTGGCGACAGTTTCAAATTTTTCCACCTTTCTTTTCTTTGTGATAATCTACTTGAGAAACTTGACATGATTAGGCATCTTATCAATGACCTCAAAGAGTGAGACATTGATATATAGCTAGTCAAGGATGTCAATAAACTTCTTGAATTAGAAGTCATCATTATGTTTCTTCAGCCTTTGAGGGAAGGTGGTGGGGGTCTAACTTCCTCCACTGCAGTTGGGGAACAACTTTTGATGTTACATTTGTTTGTCGTCCATCCGTAGGTTTACTTGTGTAACCCTCATCATTGTCCTTCACCACAGGTAACTCTTCTTGTGCTTTATGTTCTTGTTGCACAATTCTAGGGTGAGAATCGTTTGTCTTCTTCCCCCAAACCTATCATCTTGATTGAATTTAGTACAACTCCTCAGTTTAAGTTCACTGCATTGCTCATTTCCATTAGATTTAGTGACCTTAGTATCACTAGGGAGATTACCTTGTGGGTGAGCATGTAATGCTGTAGCAATTTTTCCCACTTGGTTCTCCAATGCTCTCAAAGATGAGCTATGGCTTTGCAACAATGCTGCTTGGTTTTGCAACATGTCGACTTAGTTTTAATAGTTGATGAGTGCTCGTGCAACAAAGCCTTAGTAGAAGCCATAAAATCATGAACGGTGGCTTCCAGAGAATTAGCATTTGAAGTAGATGTTGAACATTCATTGGCTTTCTTCCACGACATATGTTACTGCTAAAATCTTGAATTGTTGCCTGCATTGTTGTTGTTTATCCCTTTATTACCCCATAAAAAGTTAGGATACTGACACCATCCTAGGTTGTACGTGTTATAATAGAGGGTTTTTTGCTTTGACTAAAATTCCCCCACGAAGTTGATGGACTCTTGATTGTCAAGGCATTCACTCTCATGGTGATTACCTTAGCATAAGAAACATGCATAGCTGGCCAACTTTACTTCCTTCACCTCGTTGGAACACTGCATATTTTTCAACATATTTGTTATGGAAAAAGGTTGGGCAGACATTGAATCCTTAGCATCTAACTCTAATGTCCCAGTTTATTCCTTCTAGTTCCAAGCCTTGAACAGTGAAATTAATAATCATTATTGGTTATCATGTCAAGTATGTCAAAGGCCTCTTGGAGTGATTTTTTTAGCAAAGTACCATTTACTGAAGCATCTAACATCATGAGTGTGGGTGCATTCACTCCATTGTAGAACATCATGACTTTAGTCCAGTTATGGAATCCATGATTGGAGCACTTACGAAGAAAACTTTTGTATCGGTCCCAACACGTATACATTCATTCGTCATCAGCTTGATGAAAACTTTCTATGACATTTCGAATTTGAGTGTTCATGTTAGGCGGATTATAAAGAAGCAAAAACTTTTACAAAGATCAGCCCAAGTTTCCATTAGCTGATAGAACTCCACTAAGCCAAGCTCTTGCTCGGTTACACAATGAGTAGGTAAACAACTTTAGCTTTAGCACATCTTCGTGCACTCCTTGTTGCCTGAATAATTGTAAAATTCTAAGAAAGCACGAATGTGTTATCTTACATCTTCTTTATGCACCCACCAAACTGTCTAATTGAATTTAGCATGTTGAACATGATTAGTTTAAAGCTCAAAATGGGCTGCCTGGATCTCGGGTGCCATGATCCCTGGTTTGAAATCATCCAGAATAGGAATTAGGTGATCATGAATAGCTCTCGGGTGAGGGACAAGTCCTTCATTCTAAAAGGCTACAACATTTGGATTTTTAAGATCTTGAACTCGCTGAACATCTTGGTTGTTGTTCACGACTCTATTAGCACGATGAGCACGTCGCCTCTAATGGAATAAATGTTTGATCTCCAAAACTAGAGTGGATAAAGTGGTTCCTTAACATTTCTTTCGGTTATGCAACAACAAAATCTGAAAAAGAAATCAACAAAAATAACAAGTAAAACTAAAAAAACTAACAAAAAATCTTGCTATAGTGAAACTTTAAAATAACTAGTTGTCAATCCCTGTACGGTTCCAAAAACTTGATCACATGTAAATGTATTGTGTTTGGCATGCAAATCTGTGCAAGTATACACAATTGATGCAAGTAATACAATAGTGAGTGTCGTCTCTACATGGATTGGAGGTATTTTGTAAGCAAGCTATAGCAAACAAAAGTTATCACGAATTAAAACTTAGTATATATTTACGATGGTATGAGAAAATGAAAGTACAGTTGTGGCAGATGGTATCTATAAATGGTGAAGGAATACTGTGGCAAGAATAGAGTGAAGTGGAGTGAAATTGTATGGTGAAAATTGTTGAAAATGTAAAAGAGTGCTAAGTAAGGATTTAAGTAAAGTGTAAAGTTTTGCTAAAGAAGTGAAATAAATTGAACTTTGGAAAATGAGATAAGACTAACAACCTCACGCAATCAAGCTTTTCTAGAGGTAAATGATATGGATTTTCTATGGCAATAATATTATGTGCTACAAATGATCTCTGCTCCTATGAGTATATTGCCCGAAGGATTTACTAAAAATGCTTTTAAACTTTCTCAACGAATGAACCTGACAAATTAATCCTACGGTAATACCTCTCAATGTGAACTACAACACTAGCCTATCGACTAAGTCTTATCCCTTTTATTCAAATAAAACCCTCTCTTTATCTCTAAGATGGGTTAGAACCTCCATAACCCGGTTTGGCTCTCTTGCTCATGTTGATATAACCTAGCTCTCTCAATACTAGGTATCTATACTTAGAAGTGGCAATCTCTCAAAAGCTCTTACAAGACTAAGCATATTATGCTACAACAAATGGTAATCTCTCAAAAGCTCTTACAATGCTACAGCGGATAAAGATAAAAACAGTGAGCAAAACAATATTTAAACATAACAACATCTAACCATTTGTTAACATAAAATAAAATCATTCGACACATAACCAACACCAAATAAGGTAATACATGGTGTGGCTAAGTTCATCCAAGATCATTCAAGTTTAGTACAAGCCCAAATAAAATAGAAAATAAAGCATAAGGAGAAGAAGATTCCCAATGCGCTGATGTCGTGACCCTTAGCTCCACCGTCATGCACCGCCTTAGCAAGCTAACCTCTCTCGAGGTCTAGCTGCTACCTCCTTGAAGCTCGACTATGGAGGACTCAATAAAAAGGGGATGAAAAAAGAAAAAATGAAATGAAAAATGTGCATTTGTCTTTCTCTTAGGTCACCTCTGCAAAGATCCCCTTTAAATTGTAAGGTACCTTGATATTTATAGAGGAAATATTTCTAGGGTTTTGGCCCAAAAATCCCTTTGTACCCTAGGTGGCATCATCCTCATGTGAATGGGTGGTTATTGTGGCAGGTAGTCCCAAAATTTACAACAATTGTGGTGAGTCACGTGTGACTGGACAACTTGGGAAAGATATTTTTTGCTATCTTGTCTTTTCTGCTCTAGATATGTTATCCATATTTTCCTACGGCAAGTTTTTTAGTTTTCCATCTCCAGAATGCTATAACAGCCATTTCTCCAGCATGCTACACCATCTCTTTCTCCAGAATGCCTCAACAACCACATCTTCTCCTTAAGTTTTCATCGCCAGCACAACACTACAAAAGCAAGACTTTTCCCTCAGTATCATCAGTTTTTTTTAATAAATTTATGTTGCAGCAAGACTTTACCGCCAAATGCAACTATATGACCTAAATACACTCTAAATGCTATGACATGGGCTTTAAAACAAACAATAAACTAAGTATAAAGACACAAAATACAACCTTTTTACGGGGTTATCAGTGACAACTCTTTCCAGTCTTATGTTAAAAGTTCTGAAGCAGTTGAAATAAAAAAGGGACTAAAATGAAAAAACATTAAGTTTAGTGATGATTTTTTGAAATGAAGAAATAGTTGGGTGACTAAAACAAAAACATAGAAATAATTTAGTAGCTAAATATGTTATTTACACTCGTATTTTTAACAAAGCTAATAATTTGGAGCAAACGAGGTAACGATTTAAACTTCAGGGGGCAAAACGCCAAAAAAATGCTTTAAGGTGCAACTGGGTACAAATGATATACTTTAGGGGGCAATGGTGCATTTAAGCTTTTTTTTAATAATTTAGAATAATTATAAGATATTATTTGTTCATAACTTTTCTTAACCTACAACACACTTTTTTTTTTGCCCTCTAGTTTCAAGGCTCTGCCTTGACTAATCTAGGCTGACCTGGGTCACTCACCAAGCTTTGGTGGTGAGTCTCCCAGCGGGGATTTTCTGCATACACGAAGACTCGAACTTGAGACATTGCTTAAGCGATATCAAATTGTTTACTACTTAAACCAACCCCTATTGATGTTAACACATATTTTACAAACACAATTACTTAAAGTTAATACCTCAGGAGAAAATAACATTTTTTTAATAATGAAACTACTCAATGGGTTATTTAACGTTAATACTAAGTTTCAAGATATTCTTGTTACTTATTTCAGTTTCAATTTTCAAATTCCAGTATTTCTTGGGTTCCAATCAAAATTGATAGATATATTTGATGGGCTAGGCTGCAGTGGGTCAGGCTTAAGAATTATTAAATGGGTTAATCTTTGTCACGAAACTTACTTTAAAAAAAATCTTTGGGCCATTGATTTCTACCTCGGAGCTAAAACCTGGAAGAATATAAAACCCAGAAAGATGAGGTGCTTGTGATAGATAACCTTATCAACAAGAAGGAAACTCACAACAATGGCGTCACTGCTACTAGGAGCTGCTCCTATTACACCTCCATCTCTCAATGTTTCTTCATTTTCTCGTATTTCCTCTTCTCATTCCCAAACCCTTGGAACTTCCTTCTCAGTTTCCACTTCATCTCTTTCACTGTCTCCCGCTTCTTCTCCTTCAATCCCTTATGGTAACCAAAACAGATCATTGATTTCCTTTCTTTATTTTATGGGCGTCTTTTGAAGATTACAAAATTTGGGTTTTATTTGGTTTTCAGTTTACTGCGGCAGGGGGGATAAGAAAACGGAGAGAGGGAAGCGCTTCAATCACTCCTTTGGCAATGTAATTGCTTTTCCCCCATTTTTTGTCTGTTCTTTTTTCTCTTCAAATTATGGGATTTGTTCTTTCAATTTTCAATTTTAATGTGTTTGATATTTGTTTTGAAATGTGGTAAAATTGAATAGGCAAGGCCAAGGAACAAGAAGAAGGGGAGAGGGCCTCCAAGGGTGGCGGTTCCACCATCACCACCGAGAAAAGATAAGTTTGATGATGATGAGAAGATCAAGATTGAAATTGACGAGTCCCTTTTTTCTGGTTAATTAAGTAAGCCCACTATGTATGCTTAGTTTGTGTTACTTATCTTGTATTTCTTAAATTGAAAAAACTTGGTTATGCTATTTGCAGTTGTTTAAAACTCAGTTATTCGAGCTTTCTCTGATATTGAATTCTGGGTTCTTCTAGTTTGGGATATGATTGTTCCACGGATTTATTGTTTGATTTCGTTGTGTGTGTCTATGTTTACTGCACCAAATTCTGAGTGGTCATGTAATCATGGAGGACTAGCTTTGAGCAGACTGTGTACAACTTAGCTTTTAGACTCCAAAGGACATATCATGGAGTGCCAAACTGTACACCTGCTGTTGAAGAAACCCTAAACTTGGGATGTTCTATTAACGCTCGCTCTAATCTTTTCAGCTGGTTGTAGGATAATACCAATGTTGAAATTGTCTTTAACTTCGACGGAATAAAACCTGTTCAAAATAAAGTGGTAGTTGTAAAAAATGTCGAATTCACTAAGAGTGATAAGAGGTTAATTTTACCAAGGCTTAATATCAAAATAAGTATCTAAATTATATATTTTTTTCGAATAGGTGTTTAAATTATTTTTGACTCATTCCGGTGTCTAATATTATAAACGTTATTATTTAGGTGTCCGGGCCGTCAACAGTGTTAATTCCTCCGATAATTAACACATGTTACAAACTGATAATTTTAAAATTTCATTTAAAATTTAAAAATTATATATATATATATATATATATATATATATATATATATATATATATATATATATATATATATATTAAAAGGAAAACATAAATTTTGAAATAACTCCAAAACTTTAAAAATCTTTATTTTAACCCTTAAACTTACGTCAGCAACAGTCTTTAGTCATCGATGAAGCATTGCCCGACCTGTCTTCCCCTGGTGACCAAAACCCCCCATAAAATTGTGATCAATCGACGGTCGATCAACGACGAATCAATGTTTTATACCCCATGAACCCTATGATGAAAATCACATCCTACGCGATTTCGACGGCCAATTGACGGAAACTAAGTCGATGTATGAGTAGGATGATGGTAGGGACTATATCGGTCGCGTTGGTTTGTGTTGGAATGGGCGCATGTGGATTAAGGATAGGATTTGGGATTTTGTTGTTATATTATAATATAAGAATAGTGGTTTTTTATAAATATTGTAATAATTTTTAATTTAAAAAATTCAAAATATCAAATTGTGACATGTGTCACTTAACGGGAGAAATTAATGCCGTTGACATCCCGAGCACCTAAATGGGTAACGTTTGTAACGTTGGGCGCCCAGATGAGTCAAAAAATAGTTTAGTCGCCTATTTGAGAAAAACGGTATAATTTGGACTTTTTTTTGTATTAAGCCTTTTTATTAATAAACACAAAGCAAGAAGAGGAAACATTGGTGGATATATGTGTACGGTAAGATGGTATATACCCATCCTGAAATCTGAATTTCTCTATGTCCGTTCTTGATTTTATTCAAAATGTCTACCTTGAAATTTTATATGTATATATCTCGTGTGAAATATTTTCATTATTAATATATGTACTGATCCTGAAAAATATTTATGAATCCGTCGTTGAGAGAAAAGAATTTGTATTTATGTAAAATTGGAAAAAAATAAATAAAGAAAGCAATGAGATCATTTATCTTCCGAAAGGTAAATCCGTATAAATCTCAGATAATTTGATTATAAATTACCAGTCAAAAACACATACATAATGCACATAAGAATTAAAATCTATCAAATAGTTTATTCAGTTAAGAGACCTAATACACATAAACTATCAAAGCATTAATCTGTTAGGTTACTAATCACTTGTGTTTTTTTATTAGTTGTTGCATATAAAGTTGATCAATTGTTACATATAAAGATGAATAAATTGAAAGAAAGAAAGAAAAACATACGAAACTTATAAATCGATATATATATGTACAGAAGCGAATATCGTAGTAGGTCAAAGAAGACACCAATATATTACTTTCGAATACATGCCTTTCAACTGCACCAGTCCATTCTACTAATTAGTACAATTCTTTCTTTTAAAATGTGAAATGTGTTTTTATTAAATATTAATACAGCACGATTCTATACTAAAAGAAAACAGTTACTTGTTTCTTCTAATCAGATGCCTAAAATGGCTGATTCCAAGGAAAATCAAGGCCACTGGCACTATGGGAAAACAAAATGCATGTCTCATTGGTTCATCCCTCCCCTCCTCAGAATCTACGGCCATAAGGGAATACATCAGAATAAGATGTAATGGCCCATCAAGATACACCTACTGCCCTGCAACTCACTGAAGCGGGCTGTTCAAATGTTTCATATTCATTACACTGTGAAAATCTTCCTCACTTTTCTCATGTTCCTACGGCAAATGGGGCAAGTTCCACGAGCCTCTGCTAATCTGCAAAACATTTATTCCAACACTTCAATTACGAAAATTTTTCATCGAGTCAGCAAGATCACAAGTCTCTGATAGGAACCAGTTTCAAGACCCTGGAATTAGTAAACAAAACAGAGTCATGACAGATAACAATTGGCAGATCATTGTACTTTTGTGCAGGTTAAATAGTGAACTGCCGATTTTCCACAGCAACCTACTTTTCATATAAAGATTTACCTAGTTCCACATGCAAAGCAAGCCACACAGTGCCCACACGGAAGGAAGAAGCATTCCCTTGGAGCATCGAAGCAAATTGCACAAAGTCGCCGGGTATTGTTACTATTTTCACCATCTCCTATGGATATGGCTTCAAGAGAACCTGCCAGAAAGTCTTCAAGATCTGCCTCATCACTTGAGATGGAATCATAAGATGATCCACAACTTGAGATATCATCGGCTTTGCGTGAAAGCAGAGGGGTTCGGGCAGAAGCGAACTCCCCATAATGAACACTCGCTTCATCTCCGCTAGTAAATTGAAGCTTGTTTAAGAAGTTTAAGGCAACCAACATGATTGCGGTCATTCCACCTTTCAGAAGAAAAAAAAAATAGAAATTAAAATTTTAAGAGGATATACCTGTAAAGGTTGTAATGAGAGGAATCAAGATAGAACATACCAATGCCAACAATATACGTAATCCACCTTGGACCATATGACAATCTGACAGACCAGTCATTTGCAGCTGAATGCTGTAGCAGCCAAAGAAAGGGACAAAACCAAATGTGAAGCCATTAAGGAAGATTTACAACATATATTGATTATGCCTCTGGTATGAAGAGTAAATGCTTGAATCCGTGATTCTAATACCATGGGAATGCCTATGTAACAACCTACAAAAACAAATAATCTTGAGATACATTGAAAATAAGACTTTAGGTTTGCAGGAGAGATTTACCTGTTCTGGACCAGGAGAAGTCAAGACAATTGAATTTCCTTGAGGAAATAAGATACCCAAGCTACACACACCATCAGCGAAGGTACACCTGTAGTAAGCTTCAGTCGTACTATAAATACAAGCCCTGACTGTGAGGTTTAGTTCCACCTGTTCAATGTATCAACACAATTCTCACATGAAAAAACCAAAGAAGGGCAGGGAATGGTATCCAGGAAAAAAAACATGGGTTTAGTGAAATAGAATGGCAGGTTTGTTTTCACCTTAAGCGTCTACTTGAACTTGAGAATAAGATATCACTAAAATGCATATAGTTGCCACTCAAATCTGAATTGGTAGGCTCAATGTTTCTTGGGAATAAACACACAGATGATCATTAAATGGATCCATGGAAATTCAGTTCTTCCCACTTTGCTCATCTGGTACTCATTAAACTTTTAACATGAAAAATTGAGACAATCAACATTATTATTCTCATGAATCATGATTCAAAGCCCTAGTTATCAAGGAACACAGTGCATCGGTTACTCTTATCATACAAATACCAATCCATGTTATAGTGAACTTTTTACTTCAATAACTACAGCCTGCTTGCACGTATAAACACCATCATCCCAAAGTTTTATTTGAAATAGCAGTTATTTTTATCATACAAATACCAATCCATGTTACAGTGTACTTTTTATTTCAATAACTGCAGCGTTGCAGACTAGTTGCACGTATAAACACCTTCATCCCAAAGTTTTATTTGAAATAGCTGCACCTATGACATTTCCCACCACAGTTACGGCTTACATAGCAATATCGCTTTAACGGATTAAAGTAGGATTCCCTTAGTCAGCTAATAATATTCATCAATCAAATCTTGAAATCCATTCCAACAAACTAAATGGGACAAGCAGCTTGAAATAATTCTATTTCTAAAATTGGTATAAAGAGGCAGCTAAGATTTCAACATCTCAAATATTTTAGCAGCACTTGAAAAAAAAAATAATCAAATGAACAAACCAAGATAAGCAGGTCCAATTTTCATCATTACCTCAATGTCCTCTGAGTTCAGATTACCCAGTGCAACATAATAACTTGCAGATCCATATATGGCCAGCTCAATCATACCACTCCCTACCAAAACTTCAAAAGTCAGTATATAACTTTTTCTATGGCAAGAATATTCATGCTTTACAACTTCTATCTCACCGTCAACAATGTTCCATGATAAAGTCGTGTTAGGATATGTCGGGTCCTCAAGCCATCGAGAAAGGCCATCACTCCCTGCAATGTGAAAAAATAACTTGAAAATTAAATTCCCATGACGCTATTACTTAATTTACAACATTTTTGGACACACTTTATGGAAACATTTCCTGGGAAAGTTATTATTGTTTTAGGGTACCTTGAGCAATTACAAGGAAAACAGAGGAGCTAGTTGAGTTCACATTATATGAAATATTAACTTGAGATCCCCTGTTCAGATAATGAATCCACTCCTGGATAACATCAAAATTGCAACTCAAAAGCATAAATAGAACCAAATTATTCAAGCAAAACAATGTTACAATAATCAAACTTGCCATATGAGAATCAGCTTGAACGGTGGCAGTGTAAGTTTCAGACCAGGTGCTCACTACATCAAGATCTGGAGATTTATATAATCCATAGAGATTGAGCCCTGGCTTGGAATCATCTATCTCCTCCACCTAGTACAAGGCCAAAGAAACTATAAAGCCAAAAATCGCCCCTTACAATATAGAAAAGCATAATTAATAAAAAAAGGTTAGAAAGAGAAAATAAAAGGCAAATCACCTTTACACTCTGAACAAAAAGAGGATTGGGTTGAATAAGTAGAGAACAATTTGGACCCAATTGTATATTCACTGACCCGTAAACCCCCATGATCAAAGTCACAGAAACTGTTCCGTTCCACCCAAGAAATTATGATAAAAATAAATTCAGCATCGAAACAAAACTGATTTAATTATAATTACTGTAACGAACAAGAGATTCACGAGTAAGATAAAAGGTGTAAAAAGATTCGTACCGAAGAACCAAAAGGTTAAAACAACAATGATGCAAGACCACGTTTCATCTCTAATCACTGTTGGTGAGTTATCAAAAGCAGGTAAGTTTTCTCCATAAGAAAGAAGGCCGCCAATGTGGTGATTCTCTAGCTCGGGATTATGAAAATGAAGCTGCCGGTTGTACTCGCGATCTCGCTCCTCCTCTTCCTCGCGAACCTGCGAAGAAGAACCGGAAGACGAAGCTGCGGCGGCGGCGGCGGTGGAGGAGGAGGCAGCTCCTGAATCCCCTCTGTGAGACGAAAAATAAGAGGCAGAGGCGGAAGGTAAACTCCAATTTGGACGAGCCATGGTAGATTGATGAATTAGAAGAAAAATGGTAGTTAAAGAAGAACCCATGAAGGAGAGAGCGCAGAAATTGAAGTGTGCTTGAAAGTTCACCAATCAGTCTTCCCTTGACCGGTAGTTGTTGTTAGAACTTAGAAGCTGGTGCAGCTGACCGCTGACTCCTATTATATACTCTTTGACTCCATTTTACCGCTCATATCGAAACTGCAAAACTACATGCAAGTCTCTTAACTTCAAATATTCCCCAGAAACAGTGTTTTATTGCTCGTGTCGCAAAACAACGTCATCGTCGTCGTCATCAATGAGACGATCTCATTTTGAATGGTCACAACGGAGAAAGGAAATAATATGGGTTTATACGTATATAGAAACAACAAATTCAACAATGCATGTGGCTTACCCTGAACAGACGATGGACCAACATCAATGAAGCAAACTTCAACCAGCTTTTGCCGATGTCAAATTCACAGAACAACAGTTCAAGCTCACGTACAGCTCAAACTACCACCCGGTAAAGCAAAGAAGCTTGCACATCATGTCTCTGTTTTGCTAACTCTTTATTTATTTATTTATTTTTTTGTTAGAATTGGACAAGGTCAATTTGTCAGGTAAGCCAATATCAGCTTCGATAAGGCTGTGAGCCTCCAACGGGTTGCTGGAAAATGGACAACCCAAGCAACGCACTCCTGCCGAGCTTCGCCATGAAATCTGCAAGTTTATTAGCATCCCGGGGTATGTATTGGAGCTTGATGAGCCAATCTTTGTCTAAGAGCTTGCGGATACGATGAACAAAGGTGATGCCAATGCCAGTTAGCAGCCACGATCCCTTTACTGACCTTAGCCTTTGGCAACTCCGAAATGCTCAGTCTTGCTGCTGCAAGCATCTATACTGCCTTGAAGATTATTAACCATATTATTGATGGCTTCAAGGATAAGAGGCCTCGAAGAGATATTGTTTTAAATTTAACCCCTTTGCTACGGATAATAGAGGCCGCCCCTTTCACCGTTGGAGCCATAACACGACGATCACGAGTTGAAATCTGACTATTAGACTTTGGTGAAATAACACTCTCTTTAAAGGAACGGCTGTGTGCGTTGTGGGGTCGAGGGAGATCATCACCGATTGCCCCACTAAGCCAAGGGAGTTATCGAAGATCGGGTTGGTTTTCGCGTGAAGCTGGACCCTTTAAGTTAACCACCTCATTATCATGGCTATTATTGACTTGCATGGGAGCTCCCCTCTTTAATTGAGTCCACGTGAGTGCCCTGCAAGGATAAGTTGCTGTAGTTAAGCATTATCACTACAAAAAAAATATATGTAATTGCCGATGGAATTTTCGAGAGAATTTGCGACGGAATTTAAGTTTAGTAACGGAATTTCTGAGTGAAGAGAGTGGTCAGTAAAACGTTGGTCGAAACTAACATTTCTGAGGGAATAAAATAACTCGTCATAAGTTTACTGACGGAAATCCGTCAGTATATTACTAACGGAAAATTTAAAATCTGTTGGAACGTTATATATAATAAATATATATTTTATGTTTCCGACGAATATATCTTTTCCGTCAAGATAGTTAAAAATATAAAAAGAAAATCTGAATTTTTAATTTTCGATAGATTACATGTTTTCCGTCAGAAATTTAAATCTTAATTTTTTAAAAAAAGAGAGAAAATTTATCGGGATTCTACCCAAAAAAATATTATGAATCTATATTTTTATTTAATTAATTAAAATACCAAATTAATAATATAATTAAAATAATTACATTAAAAAAATTAGATAATAATAATACTAACAAGTCCATGTATTTTGATAATGCCTTAATAAGAAAATAATAACATATGATACAAAATTAAATTCATCATATTAACTAATAACATGACTTTACAACATATATTTCACAATACAATTTCTAATAAATAAATATTTGATTGAACACTCTACATGAAAATACAATATTCAATAAAAGAAAGAGTAAATAAAAGTTTGTACACTAAAGAGTTATTATCATTTAAAAGTTTTAAGCAACCTACAAATATATTGAACGATGTTAGAATAAAAAAATATAAATAAAGTATGAATTAAGAAAAATTACACTAAACAAAATTAGAACTTACATCAATATTGATAGTTGATGATAATAAAAGAGAATGAATTAAGATCTTTTGGAGGGAGAGAGAAAAGTTAAGAAGAGATAAAATGAAGGAAATGAGAGAAGATTGAGTTAGAAATGTTTAAATAGGAGAAATAAAGGGGGAAAGAGTAAGTTTTTAAATTTGATATTGCAATGGAGGGAAATTGAAAAAAACAAGGGTGGCTGAAAAACTCAAAACTTTTCGATGGAACATGTGGACCTGTCAGAAATTTCTGAAAGAATGGGTGAATCTATCAGAAATTTATGACGGATCCACATATTCCATCACAAATTTAAAAAATCGTTTTGATATTTGATATACCAAACAAGTTTGTTAATTAATTTTATAAATTTTAAGATTATATTCCATTCAATTATTCGAATATATTCAATTATTACTTAAGTTTAAAACGTCAATTTTTACTCCTTACCTAATGAAAAATTGAGATCTATACTAGAAATTTTTTTGAAATAATTTTACTAAGTGTTTTGAACTTAATTGAGTAAAAACTCAATTTAATATGGGAGTACTGATATTATGGTTGTAGTATTGATATTACTCCTTTGGTTTTGACTCTAATATTTTCTAGAATCTCAAAATGGTACCGATACCATTGTCTGGTATCGATACTACTATATAGTAGATACTCCTTGGGACGATATCGATACTATTGCTTTCCAACGGTAAAAATATTTGAATTTTATGCAGGTAGTATCATACCATTGAGTGTGGTACCGATACCACGACGCTCTTAGCAGCAATTTGAGTGGAAAACTTTACCCCAACGGCTCTATTGACTCCCACAACAAATCTAACGTTAAGAATTGATCAAGGGAGTATATAAGCAAGGTTTCAAGCCATTGGTGATCAAGAAAAACAAGAGATATAATAGAGAAAGGCTTAAACATCAAGTTTGAGCAAAATCAAGCCAACATTCATCATATTCATTTGCTTTCTAAGAACACTACTTGTGCTTACTTGTATTCATTTCCCAAAAGCGCATTAACCTTGTTGTATTTTCATTGATAAGAAAATAATATATATTAGAAATATTACAATTCAACAAAACATTAGATAATATTAAAACTTGAAGTAAAGTTGGAAACCTAAAAATAAATATCATATGAAATTCAAGAAGCATTATCCTCATTGCATTGTTGTGATGGAGGAATCGAATAATAAGCTTCTTCTTGATTGTTGGGTGGTTGGGTAAAAGGTGCCAAAGGTATGCTACCTCTCGTTTGTGGCTGCAAAGGCATCGAAGTGCTAGTTGAGCCTCTGAAAGTTGGACGCATAAGAGGTTGTATGGCACTGAACACTGGATAAGTGGAGGGCGATGCATCGAAGGGTAGAAACCAAAAAACAAATAATTAGTTAAACAAACTTGTGATCGATAATAATTATAATGATATATAATATTCGATTGAAATAGTGTTTTATGTCCTGATTGTCCATTATAGTTTGCTTCGAAAAGCATCTGAGAGTATCCTTGTTGTTGTTACATTATTAAATTCATTAGCATATCTTGACGTTCTTGGACTTGCCTCAACTGCTCTTTTAATGTATCGATCTCTTCTTATTGCTCTGGATTTCGCGGTATGAACCTTTTTGAAGAACCTGAAGTCTGAGACGTATTATAGTATATGGGAGCTGCGAATCCAATACCAAACACCCGACCCTTTGAGCTTACCCCACCAATCTCCAAAAATATCTTATTTGGCTCAGATGATGCTGAAGATAACTCATCCACACTTGTAGCCTCCTGAGCTGCTGCTAGTGCATGCAAATACTTGTTCTACAAAAAATGATAATGTATTATAGTAAAAAAAAGGGTAAACATTTTGCACTATCTGATTTGTTCCCTATCAATCATGATAAGCAAAAACAGTAGCCGCTCAAAATCAGGATTAATAATGTGATCATTTATTAGTCTATCAATATTGTACATCCAAGATCGATCCATACTGAATACCAAAACATGTTTCTATTGTAATTAATTAAGATACTTAAATTAGTAAAATTTTATTTAATAATTTTTATTTTTTAAATTCCTAAAAAATAAAATAAAATCATGACTTATGGTATTATTATTGTAAATTACATGTAAAAAATTTGAATTATTATTTTTATTAACATGCAAAAAAGAACATTGTTAAACTATATTACATGGAAAAATGTTTTCTTTACTTTTTGATATATTTTGTACCTTTTAAATTAAAAGGTTAATACTAATAAGTTGATAGCATTATTGTGAAAAATAATTAAAACTTATCCAGCTCACAAATTCAGTAGAAAATTTTAGAGTTCTTCAAAAAAAACCAAATAAAATTTAGAATATTCTTTTTCTTTTAAATGTAAAATAATAGCTATGTTATCAATCATTAAAAAGAAGTTTATTAATTAATTAAAAGCAACTTGCATTAACTATAAAAAAGAAACATTTACACTATTTATCATTGAGCATACGCAAAACAATAACCTTTGTAGAGAAAAATTTTATTTTTTTATAAAATGATGATTGAGTATGTTATACATAAGTCATGAAAGTAAATATCTAAATCATTTAGATAAACAACATTCTTCAATCTAAAATTACAATATCAAATAAAAAAATAAATGCATATAAATAAAATAAAGGATAAATCCATAAATCAGTATATTATAATTCAAGTGGACATATAAATAAAAATTAAATATTAAGGTAATATAAAATAAAAAAGAAATACTTACATGAATCAATTTACACCTTTAAAACTCGTTCACCATAAAATATTAAAATTATGCACCCAAAATAATTGTAAGAAAAATAAGCTAAGAAATATATAATAGAAATAAAAAAAGAAATAATAACACATTTACCTTCAACT